AAGTTACAGAATGTGAGCAGAAATATACCATATATACACAGATAGAATTACAGAGACATATATAAATACAGAGTATACAAAGGGATAAATAAGAATACAAGGGAATTGCACATTGTGCCGATGGTGAAGAAAATGAGTGCAATGTCCAATTTGAGACATTGCAGATAAGCAGTTGTCATTTTAGTTCAAAGTTGTTCAGTCACCAGTGTTTAACCTAGAGGAGAAGGGCTGCACACACAGGCATGTTGTTTGGGCTTTGTGATGACAATCATTGACAGAACAACACGCCTCAGACTCCTAAGTTTATCCATTGCAACTAAAATTACCCAACTGTAATTTTAGTCGGGAGGGAATAAAGGTCTCCAGCTATAAAGGTATAACCTTAGTCATTGTGCCTTTCATAACTGTTTTCTTTTTGAAACAGAAACTCACTTAATGGCTGTGATGCAATTAGCTGTAGAATTGTAGCTATAAAAGTAACCAGGGTTATGCTCTCTGAGCGGGCACTGCACTGGTAGTTATAATTGATGTGTAGAGTAATACATTTCCAAATTAATTTCCTGCTGTACCTCCCAGACATTATTAGTTTCCATTCATTTTACTATGTCATAAATATCAGTCACATGACATAGTTTAAGGTTACTCACCTCAGGTCTTGCTACTTTTGTTCATGTTACCGTGTATTTTTAATGCATTGCTCACAGAAGCCATTATCTACCACCAAAACTCACTGTCCTGTATGTTGTTTGTCCTGGATTATGTTAATGTTCAGTTTGACTGAAGGCATGTGAGGTTTTTTTTTTGGTGATCTGTGATCAGATTTCTAGTGAGATCAGACTTCACAACTCTGCACTGTGTGGATGGAGTTGCAAGTTACAAGCTGCCAAGTCACTGTTTATCAGTTATTTAGAAAAGGGAAGTGGTTCTGCTTAAGCAGGAAGAATTAGTTCCTCATTCGTTATCCAAGTCCTTTTACAAAAGAAGTCCTCCCTTATAACTCATGACATGCATAGTATCCCTTCGATTTGATTTTTGGGCTGTTACAGCCTTGGCTTTGCTTTTAATTCAACTGAAGTTTAGTTGAATTTTTTTCCTGTTGAACTTTATTGCACTGGGGTGTAGTGAAAAACTCCTTCAGTGAATAAAGCTGTTGTCACATTTCCTTCCTATTACTTAGCGGCTATTCATAGAATAACAAAAGCACTGGTTTAGCAATTTTGTCTAACAACAGAACAACTAATTGAATTCAACAAGAGACTATATTTTTCCTTTTGAGTGCATAGAGTGGTAGCATTTTCAAGCCACGTCAGCACTCAAATGAAACTGATGTGGTTTGGTTGTTGTTGTGCTTATTTGCTAAAAAGAAGCCGATGAGTCTTGTATGTAGCAGATGGTACAAAATGGGATTTTTTTCCCCCCCTTAAATATACATATCCACCACGTTGGTAGTTGTAGAAAGTGTATGGATGTAATCTTAAGAAGGGCTACTAGAGATGTAATGGAAGAAACGGACACAGAAACAGTTGGCCAGTTTATGTTGAGCTTTAGCAGACATGTATCTCCCTTTTCTATTTTGCTCTTATATCATCCCCCTTTTCTCCGCCTCATTTCAGCATGGTGAGCGTGATAGGAGTGGATGTTGCCACAGAGGTCCAAAGGCCAAAGCGTTTCAATTCAGAGGAGGAGAATCCTGTCCAAGATCAGAGTGACCACAGCCCTCTTCTTACCTGAGACGCCAGGACTACCAAACACTAACAGCACCTTGCTTGTTAAGATTTGTTTTGTTTTTTGTGTGTGTGTGTGTGTGTGTGTGATTTATTTTATGTGGTGTTTAATATAGGTTACATTTTCTTCCTTTGTTGCTGTGCTTATTGGAGTTATGGATAAACAGATTTCTCTACCTCTCAGGTTTAACAACTCCAGTTAAAATTGATAGAAATCTCGAAGGTCTGAAGGTAGAAGTCTGACCATGACAATGACATTTTCAAAAACATTTTGAATGGATACATTTTAAATGTATATTATTTCTTTTTTTTTAATGTAGCAAATAAAATTTGACCTTGACATCACATTTTTGCTCAGGGAAAAGGTAAAAGACCAAGCCACAAATGGTAAAGGGGACTAAGAGTTATGGTAATCATTTCAAAGTATGAGGACTAAAGTTCTTTCTGGAAACAACCCACCACTCTGTATTATGACCAAACCGAAGACCTTGTGGACTGAATTGGTCACTTATTAGGTCTCTGCTTGCCTCGGGGTACGACCAGGTTGAAAAGCTCAGTTTTCCATACTATCAATTAAAACCTTTCCAATTATCTGGAGAATATCAACAAACTAAATAAAGGAAAGTGTTGTGGGATTTTCTTTCACACTTTGGTTTTTGAGAAAAACAGAAGAAGAAAGCACCAGCACAATTATGCCACTACATACCTGAAGTTTGTAAGATTCAACCTCTGTTCAGGTTTTGTTGTAGCTAAGTTACTACATTTTGGGTGTAATAGTCTTAATTATTGTGTCAACACAATATTCGCAACAGTCTAATAAAAATAAAAAATGTTTACCACTGTGGGCCAAGCTTCTGTATTTTAATACAGACCGAAAATTCACAACTAAATATCAGCACGACATCATTTATCTTCTTAAAACTGTATCAAACAAGGTGATGTTTAATAAATATGTAGGATTTTTTTTTCTGATGGAGATGAAATGCTAAGAACATTTTTAAATGCAATACTGTTTTCTATACCCAGTGACCTTCATAACAAACATAAAAAATTGTTTCTAATTTTCTAGCTAAATCCCAGCACAACGTGATTCTGCAGAAAAAAAATCATTTCATTCATTCAACATTCCTGTCACTTTTTTTGGGGGGGGGGGAAGGTTACTTTTACACATCCTTTATTTATCCAGGTAAAAAGTGTCATTGACATTAAAAATGTCTTTTTCAAGAGAGATCTGTAATATATAACATCACAGTTTTAAAAATATATTGTATATATTGGCCAAAAAGGACTGGACTAATTATAATGTAGGTAAAATAACACAGAGTACTTGTAAAACAGGCCATTTCTGTATTTTATAGCTCCTCCATAATTCGTATTGACTACAGTCTATTTACCAATCTAAATCAAGATATTAGACACTTAAAAACCATAGAAGCATTACTAATTGCTTTGGCAGTCCATCACTTTTTCCTGCTTACTGAATGTCTGTAAATTATATGATAGCCAATATGTACACCACTATTGCAAGTGTACTGTTTTCTAACATAGTCCCATTTAGGTCACCTGATGTTAGGTTTTTTCTATATGAAATTAGTACATGGAAAAAAAAAAAAACTCGTCAGAGAGCTTCAGACAGCCAGCCGGCCTCACAGGTGAACTGAATTGGGACTTTAATTTCCAGAAACTCTGGCTGGCCAATCAACCTGCCTGGTTCACTTTTACTTTTACTGTCAGGCAGGAGGCCCACTGGCAGTGTCCATTTTCCAACGTCCTAAAAAAAGGTAAGGCCGCACTTGGTAAAATTCTGGTTGTGTTTTATTCAATCGGTGTGGTACTTCACCATAGATTTATCACATATTAAACCTCATGATACCTAACGCCACGGATTTACCACCATTCTCTGTGCTTCGGTGCCATATTTACTAGAAATTAGACAAGGTGAGTTTCCGCGTGCTTTAGTTACTCCATGTTTAATTCATATCGTTGACCTCAGGGTAAGGTCAAAAGCTCTAATTCAAAAGCAGAATCTATCAAGTATACCAAAAGTAACCTGAATTTTGCAGCACTTGGCTTAACGGTCTTTAGATAAAGTAAGCCAGACAAATCACTCCGCTCACAGCTAAATATCTGCAAGTACACTGACGTCAGCTGCTATGATGTCCCCGTGACAACAACCCCGTGACAATAGCGTGTGAATGAGTGTTTAAGTTTTTTAGTCATATTGGAAAATCTATCCAAGGCTAGAACTCCCGACCTCTTATTGATGGTGTTAACAATATTAGTTTGACCTTTATTCTTTTCTTCAGTCCGAGCAAACGGAACAACTTCTATTGACTTTATTGATCGTTGACTTCGTCCAAAAAGCCTGTTTAGCGTACAAGTCTGAGTATGTTCATACTGAGATGAGGGGAAATGAGCGTTGTACTCCAGAGAGGGGCCATCTTAAACTGAGTCACTTATCGGGGCAGCAATGCGCTCCCAGGCTGGTGCCTACCTGCTCACTATTGCCACTCCTGAGAGTTCTCTCAGTTCATGAAATTTAGTCAATGTGTCGCATACTTGACGAACTGATATGAAGCAGCTGCCTCAAATGCTGTTTCATTTCCTCATTCATGCGTTTTCTTTCAAAGTGCCCTCTGTATGTCCTTCACAACCTCTATTGTTTTCATATTTACTGTTAAACTGGTCTCCTTCTCATTCGTTCACGCACATTCTGACTTGGTTTGAGAGACATTGATTCCTCTTCTCTCCAGAGCATAGTTCCACCTCTGCAGGCTCTCATCTAGTTGCTCCCCCACTCTCACTATAAATGTCCAAACATGTGAAGACTGAACCTCAACTGCAAAGCACCCGAAGCAAATTTATGTCCATAATTAAACCGCCTCATCTGCACTTACTGTGTGAGTTTTATCCCTTCAGGTTATAGTGGAATGATTAGATTTAAAAATCAAGTGGATCTCACTAATTAAAATCACTCTCTCCTCCCATCCTGGCCTTTTTGAGATAAATGTCATGATCCACTGGTATGTATTATTATTTCTCTGTAGACTGGATTGCAGTAGAAGCTCTGCCCTTTATTTTCTTGTTGCCATGGTGAATCCTCGTATTGGAGCTCCACTGATGACTACTTTGTTTCATTACTCATGCACACTCTGAGCACAAACTAAACATACTCAGGGCAGACTGAAGAAACTCAGATTTTCTGGAAAATGAGTTTCTCATGTTGGATTGAAGTTTGACTCAGGTTCTTAAACCTGCGTTCTGGATCTACTTTATTTACTTATTTTGTGCTTCCCTCTGTCTGATTGAACACCTGTGAAATCAACGAATGAAGCGATTTAGAGCTTTCTTCCTCTTTCACAAACTATTAGTGTCATTTTTGGGATGATCACTAGCCCAAATGTCATGTTGGAAAACTGGCTTTCTTTATATGTAAATGCAAACTCCTACTGGGAGGGAAAAAAAACTCGTATAAATCTGTCTTGTTTTACAGAAGGAAAAAATAGTTGTCTGTCTTTTCCTCAGTAATATCTTTCATTGCTTTTAATATTGCAGATAATACATAGTACAAATTGTTAATGTTTGCCCTTGTTTAGTTTTATATCCCGCTTGTATTTCATGAAGGACTAGTTTGAGGTTGTGTTATACATACGATTGAATTTTTGCACATTCCAGTCCTTAGTCTCTAAAGTCTGGTTGTTTAACATCAAACCAGTCAGTTCTGGGGATTAGCTGGTGGCAACTGCACACTGGGGTACTCCTCCAAGAACACAATGTTAAGGCTGCTTTGTTTGCATTCACGCTGCTTATAGGAAGCCAGCATTAGGTAAGTTCACAACCTTTTGTTGTGAACTTTTACTTACTTGTGGTGCTGTTTCAGCTTCTTCAGTTTCCCTGATATGGCACTGGTGTGTGTGTGTGTGTGTGTGGGGCAAGATAAGCAGTCATATGTTGTGCTTATCTTGCTAAGTATTTTTTTTTTTTTTTTTTTTTTTTTTTTTTTTTTTTTTTTTTTTTTTTTTTTTTTTTTTTTTTAAACAGAGCAATAATTTAAAGATTTCTATATTTAATCAGTATTTTTCTACCATGTTGGTATATTACTCCAGGCTCTCTGGTTAGATATTATACCAGTGAGTCTGTGACACAGTCTTTTTGATATAATCTCCAAATATCGTACAAACCTGAATGCTGGCTATATACACTAAAGTAGCACAGTTGGAGTAGAATACCACAGAATGTTTGATACAGTATACAATTGATCCGTAATGTAATGCAGTTTTCTTGAATAAATAAAATACAAACTCAATCAAACAAATATTGCCCATGCAGACAGTTTCTTATACATTGAATCAGAACTGTAGTTTTTAGTGGAGTAGAGTAACTGTTGTGGGGTTTGTTTTCTTTTTTGTTTTGTTTGTTTTTTAAATCCTATGTCTTGTACAGTTGCAACACTATAAAATCACTGACCAACTGGTTTCACCTGTTTTAGATTGCTTTCTTTTCTTAAACTATAGTACAAGAATGGCCATGCCTTCTTCAGGCATGTGGAGTGATCAAGTTTTAGTTGTCACTTGAGTTCAAATCTAATCATTGTCCTTGTTTCTTGTTCAGGACATTTTCCAGCCCTCCTCAGAATGAAGCGTCTCTTGCTTCTGGAGCCTGTGATGGCCCTGTGCACTTTTTCCTATTTTCTCAATGCTCCACTTATGCAGCAGTATGTTTACCGGAGACTCTGGGCGCAGATGACAAACACCACCTATCCCATCTCTGACACATCCAGATGTACAACAAGCAACAGCTCAAGCAGTTATGAGGTTTGTCATTAATCTCTGGCTCCAAGGTAGGATTCATGGGTACCAAAAATGGAAGGACCTACTATAAAAATAAGGGCATGCACAGTTGCAGCCATCAGTTAAGTGGCGTAAAACACAAATCAGCATTAGCTGCATTTGCATTATACTTAAAACTGTTGCACTGAATACTGTCATTGATACTGTAGCAGGAAAATTCATATTTAATGCTCATTTCAGATAAGATCTAGCATTACTTAGAAATTTACAAGTGCATGTGAAAGTTTCTTCAACTGAATTTGCTTTTGGCTTTAATTTAATGTTGTTTTTTTGCATGAATGATTTAGGAATTACAACCATTTCTATACAGAGTCCTCCATTTCAGAGACTTTGAAATAACTGAACAATAACAATTTTAAATAAGGATTATTCCTAATACTTCACTGAGAATAATATGATGAATGACAGAACTGTAGAGCACAGAGTGCCAAATACAGTTTCTTCTCACTTTGGG